TGCCCCTAATATCATTTTGTTTTTGTTGTTATGGTATCTTTTGTTGATTTTGCTGTTGTTGTTTATGTAATTTGGGCAAAGATAATAAAATAAAAATAAAATAAATATCTATCTTGTGTTTTATAGGTGGCGGTGGGGTGGTATATCTAGCGTTTATCCTAAAAGTCATTCATGTGGCAACGGCCATCACGCACAAGACATCAATTTTGTCGGCCAGCTTATYAATACTGACAGTAGGACRTTTGTTTGGGAGAAAAACAAGCCTTACATCGTGATAACTGGTGCAGGCTGTTACTGGTGAGTATTTCAGTCATACAACATTGCCAGACCCTCATCACTGCCGAACCCCGCCCACTTAACAAGAAGTGATTGCTAGATGGTGATATTTCGTGAGCACCAAAGCTATAAGCACCAATACGGTTGAAATTTGAGGGTATTTGTTGCGCATGCTTGTAAGTCTTCCTTATATGTTCCCACATGGACGAACTCATAGACTTTGGTACTCGATAAGAATATTTCAGATACTTTTTCCCTTTTTTGTTTCGCGCCCGAATCAAACTCAGTGCACAATTCCTTGATACTCAGGAAATCCAGGTACATAGCAATTAGCTGAGATTATACTTAAACTGTTGGTCTACTCAAAGTCTGTGACTGAGGATGGTTAGAGCTCGCCGTGATGTACATCTCAAGCTTTGAATAATAGAAGCTAGAACAGTACACGAATACTTCTTTCAACATAACAGAAACTTCTTTCGCACTTAATATGGACAATTGTTAAACAATTATTCAAAGTAACACATCACTGCAAGCTCACCATTGCTCCGATTACTTTTCAATATGTTCACCCTTGTGAATGCTTATCGTTAGCCTGAAAATGCATGACCTTATATACTTGGGATATAAATGATACAAATTACCTACTAGATAGAGCTTGTCAAAGTCCTAGTGTCATTCAATACTGTGACCTCTCCAACCAGGAAAAACGAGCCTAAGTGATTAATGTATTGCAGGGTGAAAATAGGAGCATTTGCATCCAAGTCAAGCTCACCGCCATCGCTACAGATTACCATTGACGAGGAGCCAGTTGCACTGGTAAGCAGTTCATATATACCTATTTCAAAAAATGTTGTCGCGTTGGACACAGTCCACGGTCTTGAGACTGGCAAAGAATCTCGGGATTGCCATATAAAATCATATATTCAATTTTAGTTATTCAAAATACTCCGATTTAGAGTTCTGGTTGTCTGTGTTGGCCTCAAAACCAAGCAACTTCTTCTTTTGTTTCATTGACAGCTCGAGAATACGCTTGGAATTTGAAAAGAAAGATTTGAAATCTCACACTTTTATTCAGCACAATTAGGAATTTTTTGCGCATAAATGAGGCTGACACAGAGCATTTGAAACTCATTGACGGTTTGAAAGCGTGGAATTAGTTTTTCAAGGAAAATTTCTCGTGGCGAGACATGCCCCCAAGAGTATATTAGTAGTGCTTGCCGGCATTGAATTCAAACCACAATATTCTCAATATATTAATTACGCATGGAACCCCGAGATTCTTTGCAGGCTCAAGACTGTGGACTGTGTCGTGGTCGTCTTTTGAAATAGGTGTAATTTCTTTGTTCATGTTTGGTTGTAAATTCAACTTGAAATCGGAGGTGACTTCAGGCTAGGATACATGCAGTCCTTTCAGATCACGGCAACATTATCAGATTGCGTAATTCAATAAAACAAAGACTCAACCTCGCCTGGTAGGGACGCCAAACGAAAATGCTGATTCAAGAAGAAATCATCACGGCTAAGGTCTCGTCATGAAAGCCTGTCCAAAAGAGCCGTGTTTTCGTTTGTTTGTTTTTTGTTTTTTGTTTTTTTGTTTTTTTTGCACGTAATCCGCTCAAGTATATAGGAACAAAGTTGATAAAATCTTGTGACATCAAATGCTCTTGATATCCCCGTGTGCATTAACAACAGCAAAACCTGACGAAATATCCAAATTTGAAGTCGTTAACCTCCTAAAAGTCCACATGGATATTTTTCATTGCAATCTAAAAGCCATCATTTGCTATCATGAATAGGATCTGTTGAAAATAAGGTATCTGATTTGTAGGAAGTTTGAGACCAAGTATGAACAAGCAGCCGGTCGGTTGAGTATCCAACGTATAAGCCCTTGGCTTCACACTTCAACATAAGCATTCTCTTCAAAACATCCTGATTATCTTTATGCTAGCTTCTATGCTTATGTCAGTCAGACCTGACTTCATTCCTTTATGTCCGTTTTGTGTTCTTGGCTTCTGCTTCTGCTTGTGTCGTATTAATTAAGAACCGGTGCTTAACAGATGATAACACCCATACAAAATGTCCATCAGAGACTNCACGGATTACGTCAAAACTAATTGTTTGTTGTATAAAACAGATAGATCTCATTTTTCCGTGCGTGTGTACTCTAATAGATACACAGATGACGTCAAAATGTAGTGAGAACAAAAAAGTACGCACGAGACGCAGTCGAGTGCGTGACTGTTGTTCTCACTACATTTTGACGTCATCTGTGTATCTATTAGACTACATACGCACGGAAAAATGAGATCTATCTGTTTTATACAACAAACAATTAGTTTTGACGTAATCCGTGTATCTATACTTTGATAACACACGAAAGCCAACCAATCAAAACGTCTGATTTTACTGAAACGTTGTATAAAGACCAATAGAGTCATCTAGGGTTTGCCGATAGTTTTGGGGACTTGCGCTTTTACCCGCTTTTTTTTTCTTGTTTGATGTGAGGCAATTGACGTAATAAGTAAATAAGTAATTTTTATTTGAAAATAAGAGAAAGCCACAGTCATTTGCCATAGAGAAAAATATGGCCAAAGCAAAAAAAATCCTGTGCAGTGTTGAGAGTAGACAAACTACTTGAGCACTAACGAATATGGCGTAAAAGGTTTATATATCGCTACCTATACAGCACTTGAAATCATTATTTTTTACCCGTGGAAATACATAAAAGAGGGCAAAGATGCATTATCTGTATGGAAATACCTTTTTTGTTGTACTCGAACGAGTTGGCAAGAAATGACTTGACTGGACGTCACTTCTCGAGGCAGATGAAACGTCCATAATTCTTATCACAATCTATGACTCTCATAAATCGTGTGTTGATAGACTTGTTAATGGGTTTCTGTCTACCGACAATGATCGGATAGGAGCCAATGACGGTTTGTAAATAAAAACCATGTGTTGTTAATACTATATCTGGTTTTTGTTGGTTTTCAATGGATCCGTGTTATTATACTAGGGATTATGTCTTTGAAGTATAGTACAATACTTAGGCCCTGTTTACATGTGATAGGGTACCCCTACGTGGTGGTAGTTTCTTTTTACTGAAGGATTTGAAAACAAAGGAGTTTGGCTCTACTTCCTATAGGGGCGCAGATTGGGTTTCCTGTCAAAACGATGAACTCGCACATTAAAGATATTCTAGAGAAGATATAGCTGAACAAAAATCTTTGTTTTTTTGTTTGTTTCCCTGTGTATGTGATTGTTTTTTTGTAATTTCCAGTTCAACAGTTCAGGAAAATCTCCAACCAGTTACAAAATAAGTGTGACATCTTCAGCTCCTAAGAGCCAGTCCACCCCGTCCCGACATCGATCAGACGTATCACCATGGCGACCAGGTTTGTCTTTTTGCTGTGAAACTTAATTATTATAAGTAAGAATGGTGGGAACTAGCGGTAAACTAGTGTGAGCTGCTGGCCGCTGTTTCTAAAGAAACAGTTGTGTTACTTATAATAAGTTACTTCACCTACTTTTTTACGGTGTTTAATTTATCTTTTTATACAACTATTATAAGTAAGAACTTAAGCGATGATAACGCTCTACATCAGCCCTTTAATTGTTGCAAATTTTTCATTTCTGAATCGCCGAGATGCTTACACGATAGTCTATACTCAGCCGTTTAGTGAACAAAGTATTGAACCGAGGCTTTGAGGTACTGTAGGTATAAAAAAGATCTATGTCCAGTGCACCTTCACGCCTCGGTTCGATGCTTTGTTCGCGATCACTGAACCTTGGTATGGAAAGTCAAATGATATTATCAATCTGCTCTTCTAGGTTCCAGTCTATCGGGTGCCATCTTGGTACCGGGCCACAGTCGACTGGGGATCTGGGCCGCTAGTACAGTAAGTGGAACAAGGCTCGCTGTGGAAGGCTATCTAGAAATACATAAAGTGTACTAAAACACGCATTAATTCCGCGAAAGAAATATTCTAATTCCTATTATATAGTGTTGATGACATGATGGAAAACAAAAGTATTGTTTAATACCTATTTTGCACTATTTCTGTTTCACGCATTCAGTGCGTCTATACTCTAACTCCAGCAATAGAGTCATTTTCATCAGACTGTGAAATAGGAAGTGTACTATTAAATACTATTACCCCCTATTAGCTCCCAATAATTTAACTTATGACATGGGACAAACTAATGAGGCAAACACGGTTTTGATTTTACCTTTTGGTAGCCTACTACACCCTAATAGTTACTATTAAACACTGACTAGTAGTAATTGTTTCACAGACGGATGAAAATGACTCTAACATCACGTACAGATATCGTCAGGTGCTTTCCGCGATAACGTATGTGGTAATCTCATCATTGACAACCTGATGCGGCGGTGTTACGAATTTCAACAGTCGATATATTATCATTGAAAATCAGCGCAAGAAACTAACAAATTGCGCTCAGGTAATTCTGCAGTTTTTTTAAAAAAACAGGCTACGTGTACCAAAAAAACAAGTGATGGTTTTATTCTCACCACGCAGGCGTTGTAACCATTGACATTGAATGGTTTCAATTTATGCATGACATTATTTTCATTTGAAATCGAGATTTTTACGTGACATAGAAATTTATTCATATAATATTAAAAACTAAATAATCTTTGTCTATAATTGTAATTAGTATGAAGTAATTATTATTAATTATTATTGTATTGATATTAGCTGATAATGATACAAATTATATATTCCAAAAATATGATTGCTATACTTGTGCATTTTCCGTCTTTGTTGTTAATACAAGTTTAAGGCTGAGAAACACGAGATGCAACACCACTCAAATTGTTGCCCAACAGAAAACATGAAAAATAACAAACACTGATGCAAAATATGAACAGCGGCAATGTTGCATTTACATGTTAGAGTGGGTTTGAATCTCGTATTTCTCCGTCTTTGCATTGCAACGTTACTCACGGTTTACTCAATAATTCTTTTGATGCCATA